TCAAGTCAGCTTGGGAGGGCCTGGATGGTCATGTTCAAGCCGTCAAGGTGTTTGACTCATACATTCATCGTTCAGCTTGACGATTCCCCCCCCCCCTCCAAGCTTGGTCAAGTCTCTGTCATGTGTCAAAGGCTGTCAATCTACTCGACGAAGCCTCTCCTCGGGAACGCTTCGCACGGGTAGATACTCGCCAACGCCAGCCGCACCCGTACATACGATAGGAAGAGACAGCCGAGAGAGATTGACAGCCCACTTGCCACCTACGTTGGCGGATGGTGCATTGGTACTGTTTACTGAATGGGAGTAACACATGTCAATAATGTCAACAAGAACTGTCCCCCGTACAGTATAGTAACGGTTAGAGGTAGTAAGTCTCTGGCTGCGCCCGAGCCCGAAATCTTGGTGTGTTGTCGGTGCGTAGGGATCCGTAATTTCGGATCGGAGTCCTACTGTACAGTGCTTCTCGTAGCCATGAACCACAGCAGACATGTGCAGATTATGAGCTCCAGACACACCTTTTCGTTGTTTTGTCTTGGATTACTCCGTAAAAAAAATTCAAATGAAACCGGGTCTGCTGACGATGCCGTCATGGTTTGGGGGGGCAAATTGGTTTTTTCTTTTTCTTGTTTTGCTTTTCAGAGAAACCCCCTGAATGGCTGAGTCTCACTTGTGGTACCGAGTAAAAATGTCCAAAAGAAAAAGCACATGCTTGCGATATTGTATAGACTTGTCCTAAGGAACGAAATAGGTGTCTGGTCCGTGTGGCGTTATCAAGTGGCTGGCATTCTAGATGGAGACAATAATGTCGAAGGTGGCTGATTTTTTTGTCTTGAACGCGTACTCCGTATCCGTATTTTGTACTTTGTAGTTCGTCAGGATTGAACGGCACTTCTACGGCATTTGGTCACCACAATCTGGAAGTCACGTGAAATCTCGCAGAGTCACATTGAACCAGTCACAGACCGGGTAATACCCCCCCCTCCTTTCTTCTTCCCATTGTTTCTACAGTACTTCCGTCTGTCCGTTCCATCCTCTTCCCTGCCTTCGGTGTCTTTTACCCGAGATGCACACCAACTTGGGTCTGTTCCCTAACCCACTTTTTGCCATGTGGCATTATTATTCGAAACGGAGAATCCGTTTACGGAGCAACTGGTCTCCTCAATCGTTACAGCAGCACCACACACCATTAAGTGCCATCTGGGAAGGATCTTGCGAAGTTACTTTTGTGCCTTCCCACTAGCAGGGAGCAACGGGGTCGCCAAAAAGAAAAAAGAATCCATGTCCGCGTTACAATTGAAAGTGTACTCATAACTGAAGGGAAAGGGGGTGTGAAGAGTGTCAAGTCACTTGCTGGTCCAAGTCCGAAATGTTTCGGATGTACCACAAAAACCACTGCTTACGAGCAGAAGTTACTGACTCGCTTACTTTTTCCGAAATGATGCAAAATCCCAAACCTTTACGGAGTATCCTTACGGATGATCCCAGGACGAGGGAGTCAAGTCACCGTACTGATAATTAACATCCTCGTTGATCGTCTTCGGATTGTTGTACTCCGTCCGCAAGGGTCCTTTGGGGGTTGCGTAGGTAATCACTACCTGACTCTCTCTGCCCGGGAACGGGTACAGGTAGGGAATTTGGAAGCCCAAAAAAAGGTCCTGTCGGGAGTCGGTCCGAAAACGTCAGGGTCGTCCTCCTCCTCCAAATTGCCCAATTGACGAAATCGCACCGCACGGACATGAATTGTTCATTTTCACCACGAGGTTGGGGAAAGCGTCTGTGCGCCGCCTTTTACCGAGTCCCGACCAACTGAGTTTCTAGTTCTCTACTCCGTACACGGAGTGTGTACGTGGATGGCCTTTTTCTCCGACAAGGTGGCAAAAAAACCAAAAAAACCAAAAAAACCAATCAATCAAATTGGATTCATTCAAAATCCGAAGCCAAGAAAATTCTCTCACCGTCTGTGCCTGCTCGGAACAAGAACCAAAACTCACAGTGCGGGCCCAGTTACCCCATTGAGTAATTGTACATGTTGCAATGGGGGATGGGTCTCGAAGAACGAAGGGAAAGAGGAAAGGGGTTTCACATGTCCGCGTCGGCTATGGGTGTGGGCGGTTACGAGAAAAAGAACGATTGACGCACAACGGACGTTAGGTTACTGTAAGTTGGGTTGGGTGGTGACTGATTCACGACTTTGCCTACTCTGGAGGTTACAATAGTGACGATGACACACCATCCATTACGACACCCGACGAACAAAGATGAATGCCCTTGTAGTAATTGAATTACTTACTCTATTTAGTACTCCGTGGGAGAAATCTAGGTGAACAAAACTTACGTGTGCATATCTACTCCCGATCCAAGAAAAAAAAGTCATCTGAACACGGTGACAGCTTCAGCCGACTTGACCACATGGCCTCTTTGTTGGCGAAGGGGCGTGGGAAAGCGTGGGATAGATACCCAAGGTACGGAGTAGATTTATTATGGGTTGCTCTACGGAGTTCTGCACACCGGGAGTTATGAATAGCACTTCGTGGTAACTGAGAATGTATTAATCTTTTTTTGAATGCCGCCCTCGGAGTATTCCATAATCAGGCTAAAGAACAGGTCTTGTCATGAACGGAGATGTTCATCATCGGTGTGTATGTGTGTGTGTGTGGTCGAGTTGTTGTTTGGTGAATACAGCCGTACGGTGGACAGTCGACCCTCCCTCAACGTCCTACTCCGTCATTAATCAGCATTTGGGTAGCATCACTAGCTAAGACTATAATGACTCTTACACCTATCAAGCCCTTTTGTTCGGTTTTTTGTAACACGTTCACATGTGAAGAAAGAGACCGTCCGATGATGAATCATGTAGCAGTGTGCTTACTTCTACTCTCGCGACCGGAAGAACAGTCACTTGCCGGACCAAAAGTCGAAACCAAAAAAACTCACCGACTGCGCGGGATGTCTTTCTCGTTCGGGGTCAAATCCGTACTGTGACTACTCACAAAACTACGTTACCATTTGAATCAACCCTCCCCCCCCGACTTATCTGAAGGTTCCCTCGTAGACGTTTTACTCCCGCGTGAGGAGTGGAAAGTCACTCGTAATTCTGTCGCAGACGGGTAGGCCACTTTTCACAGCTAGGAACCGGTCCGACATCCGAACCAAAACAACCCTCCCCAGGTTTAAACTCGCTGGTCATGACGAGTTACCCTTGCTTCCGTGGGCATGTCGGAATCATTACGAACTTTGTCATGGAAACCCACCCCCCATTCCCGTAGGACCGGGGGAAATGAAGAGATTGATTGACAGTTTTGGACCGGACACCTCTTCAGGCAATTCCAAGAGCAAGGGAAACTCTAACGGAGAGGTTCATGGGGTAGTCAAAACCAAAAACACCTCCCTTACAGTACCTCCACACGGGTGTTCGAGTCGAGTAGGTGGCCTCAGCTATGTCAATCCCTCTCAAGTACTACGGAGTATAGGAAAAGTCGATTGAGAAAGAAAAACCATCATGGACATCGGTAGCAAGCTTCCGATAATACTTTTTCCCTCCCTGGTAAACTTCACTCCTGTGCATTCATCATTCACCAAACGGACAAGACTTTTTGTCGTAGGACTCGAGAATCCTTGATTCCGTACATTCCGTAGTAGACAAGCCCTGTGACAATCCAAGGGTTCCCATGTTGTTTCAATCCAAAAGTTGTATGAAACTTGCAGACCGGAGTCTTAATAACCAAGTCAATCGAACTCGCAAAGTAATAATGAAGTCAGTGGCGCGTTTGGTTTCAGGCGTGGAGAGGGAAGTTGTGGAGGTGGCAAAACCAAAGACATGGTCCCAATTCTGCCCGAGTAGAATCAACAACAATAACAACAACAACAAGAAGAAGTAGTGACTATTGTATCGTCGGATCCGTACACTTTGAAATGCCATCCGTCCGGGCGGGAACGACTCGACAATCCCTGCTGTGAGAGAGGGTCGGACCAAACCACCCGGTTCACCAACTCACCTACTTCTGTGAAAAAAAACAAAACTTACATTTGTGCGATCTGTCAAGATGCGAAGGCGTCTTCTCGTGCCTGCTCCTGTAAAGGTTTTCTTCATGACTCGGTTGTTCTCTCATCAGATTCGACGGACGTATCTCGTAAAGGAGGCGAAACAGAAAGAAAAGAAATACAGTTTCTATGACGAGGATAACTGGGGGCTGTGCAAAATGTTTCCCCCGTACGCAGAATTACTCCAGAGGCATCGGGGAATCGGTATCGGATGGTTTTTCTCTTTCCACCTGGGAGATTCATTACCTTGGGAAATGTAGCCGATAAATTACCTTTGCCTTTGTCACAACAAGTTGAAAGTAAGTCAGTCTGGTCACAGTAGATTAGAGGCACGTCAGTTGGATACCTGGTAAGGAGAGGGGGGCGGGTACGGATAGTAAGCCGTAGTTGGTCCTTACCTACAGTACAGCCGCAAAAACATTTGGGCATCATCAACCAAAAATTGTTACAGAACAAGGACAAATGATATTAACCACAAAAAGTCACAAGTCACAAGTTCACAAGGCACACACGCGCCCACGCCCACGCCTCAAACCTCCCCGAGGCGCCTGACCAACAAACCACTTGACTTACGGAATACTTGGGGGAGCATGTGATGGGAACTACGAAATGGATTCTTCCCTGTTCACTTTTTGAAGAGAAAAAATAACAAGGCAAGATGATTCTAGCAATCACATACAGTACAACAAGTGAACGAAATGGTGCCCCGGAATTGAAGCGGAAAAGAAAAGCCCAACACGGCAGGGCGTCAAGAACAAGGCGACACGCCGGAAAACACAAACAAGTGAAGCGCCCGATTTTCACTCAAACCCTGCCTGAGGTACGGATAGGCGACGGACTTGTACGGACTATCCTGAGCGCCTCAAAGCCACACACACACACACCGCTAAATAGTTAGGTAGCCAACACATACACAACAACACATTCATCACATCATGGGAACAAGGAGCAAGTTTCGTAGGTGTTTCTCAATACAATAGATTGAAATTATAAGCTAGTAATACTATATTCGTCCATCGAGGTCACCAATGTTTGATCTGATCCTCGGGAGCTCGGAGAGTGAAAAAGTCTCCAAGATCAACATGCCACAGCCCATGAAAATGAGGCTTTGGAAAAAGGCCGTAGGGGGTATCGTTAAGAGCCATCATGCCCGGGGTATATGCAAAATATGGATGTGTTGTTCATTCCAATCACCCAAGGCGCACACTTGTCGCTTCGCTAAATCAAGATTCAAATAATAACACATTAAGATCGTAAGATGCCCGAAATGGTTCCGAATCATGGGACCAGCCCAGCGGCCCAGAACAAGTCAGAAAGTGAGTCGTATCGCTTCGCACAGCCTCACTGAGGCCCGTTGAGGCTACTCAGCCCGCGACGGACATTGGTCTGTCGCCGCTTGAGCGTGCTGGGCCGACGTGCCTTTTCTTCACTTGGGCCAGCGAAGCGGACTGTCTTGTTGCGTCTTGACTCGGGCTGTTGTTGGTGGGCGGATTCCTTCTCTTGCAGGTCGCGAAGGAAGGCAATCTGCTCTTCGGTGGTGAGTTCCTTCTTGGGGGTCACCGCCGGAATGGTCTCGATGGGTAATGACTCGTGCGTGCAGAGAAGGTCGTCGTCTGAGAGGTAGGAACTAGGCTCGGCACCAAATGATGACATGCACGATCTGTAGGGGCTAGGCAGCCATGAAGAGTTGCTGCTGTCGCGTCGCATTGCCACTGACGAAGGTTGTGAGTTGGTCGTAGAGGCATTGCTGTCTGATCGAGTGAGGCCTTGTGAGGATGGCCACGAAGAGGTTGGCGACGCGCTCAAAAGTGCCGAGTAGGCAGAGTTGGGCGCGTACGAGGTGTAGTTGTAGCATGAACTGGAGTTGGTGGAGTCGCGCGAGTCTGAACGCGACATGGCCACCGATGTCATGGCTGGGGTAATGGTGGAGGTGGGCGACGAGAAGAACATTTTGTATGTTGGTATCAAGTGCTCCGACACGCGACGGTGAGGTCCAGCTTTGTGGGCTGAGACTCCGTGGCGGATGTGATGTTTATAATTGTTGTTTGTAGCCAGGATTGTCAGACGATTGTCAGGCCTTGTTTTGCTGAACGGGAGCCGGGGCCTAATGAGGGTGACTGTTTGCAGGTGGTGATGCAATACCGTGTGTCTGCGAGCAGGGGAGGGCGTGCGGTCGGTTAATAATAATAACGACGCGCGCGTTTTGCCGGGATGGGGGTTTAAGCGGTGACTCGGAGTTGGGCTGGGATTTTGATCGGTGGGTTTGCCGCGGGTCAACCAGGGTTACTGTGCCTAAGCGGCAGTGTGCTGAGAGAGCTGAGTGGTAGGATCCGAAGACGCTGGCCGTGTCGGTATATCGCTCAGGGTGATTTCGAGGGGTTTGCAGCTCGCAAGTTTGCTGGTATGTTTGGGTAGAGTCGAGTCGGAAGAGGTCGAGAGAGGACTCGGTGGGTGTATATGAATATGTATCCGTGGCAAGGTGATGGAAAGTCAAAAAAAGTGACTGTCGCCCCCTTCCCCGTGCTTCCTTTTGATTGAAATCTTATGGATGGGTATTGGAATGGGGAGGATGGCGAATACCCGGTGTGTCCCTAGTTCGGATGCGACTGCGACCTCGGTCGGTCCAGCTCGGGGCTGTGTGGATGCGGTGTCAACAAGGGGATCGGAAGGACAGATGGGGCCCGTTATTGCTGTTTCGGGCTATGGGGATGAGGATGTCTGCTACCACCGCTAGTCCTGCCAGAATGTCCAGGGCCGCTGCCGGGGGGGGTCGATTCGATGGGTCCAAGACTGTCACTTTTCTGGCACCGCGACCTTGGTTCCGCGATGGAGCTAGAGCACTCGTAGGGGAAGGCTGGTTCTCGCGGAATGCGGCGTGGGCAACCGATGGTTTCAGCCCAAACAGTGATGAACGCAGGGGTGAACGTGAATGTGAATGTGAATGTGACTGTGAAGGGGTAATAGGGAGTATGAACCAAGTTTTTGCTCTTGCAACCTGCCAGGAGAGGGCGCTTCTTATGCTGGTTGAGGCAAGGGAGAAACATGCGTCAAAGGACTCGTCGTGGGAGGCGTTTGTGGCATCTGGTTTGGTAGGCTCGTCCATTCAGCGTCCACCGTACAGCGTCCAGCTGGCATGTTCTGCTCTGGCGTTGGAGCAGCGGATGATTGATGTGCAAAGGCCTGGTGTTTGGAGTGGTGCTGGATGGAGTCGGTCTACTGACCGCCGAAAGAGTCCAGGTGTAACAGGAGATGGAGGGTTTCGTCAAAGTCAGAGGCCTGAGACCCTTGTCCACCTGCTATTCACCGTCAATTCGCTTGCAGGGGGAGCCTGGGTGGCTGACGGGACCGCACGGATGGCGCCTGACAGTCAAAGTACGGGGCGAGATCTCGACAAAGCAAGGAGCGCCCTCGGCGTCGTCGAATCGAAAACCCCACGTTGGCAATTAATGGCACTGGGCGAAGGCACAGATCAGCCAACGGTTAAACGGCGGCCTAGAATTGCTCGTTGACCCGGATGCCTAGTAGAGCCAGTCCCACGCCAGCGAGGGAGAGTAGAGTCGAGATTCGTGTGTCTGGCCTTTTCATCGTGTCGCCAATGGATTTGGGAGATTGGACTCTGCCGGAAAAGTGAGGCAGTGACAATAATCATGAGACAAGACGGATCTGGCCAAATGTGATGGTGATGGTGACAGTGGGATGAACGGCCTCCGATATTCGTACGAGTTTTACTCTGGGTGTTGCACTTGGACAACGAAGCAAAGTACGGCGTAACACCTCTACGGCAAATTAGGGACCTAAACGCAGGCATACCCCTTAACTAAAGTTAGGTCTGAGCAACGAACATAGCACCTATAGCACCTATAGCGCCTATAACATCTAGTTAAACAGAACATCACCATCACCGCCCCCCCCGCCCCCCCCGTGCAACGTGTAGCCATGTTACTCATAGTGATCAATTTTTGCATACCTGGCAATAATAATAGCCCATGCTGTGTCACACTCCTCGCTCGTTCGTTCATCATACGGTGTAAGCACCATCGTTACTCGGACATCCTCAGGAGGTGTGATCAGTCCGCTGGGAGGATGCTCGCTACATCCCTCAATCCGCTCCCGCAGATCTGCCAACTCGTATAGCTGCTGCAAGTAATGATGATGCGGCACTCCGTACGAGCTCCGTGGGCCGCAGAAACCCCAGAAATGCGCCGAAGAGGAGGGTGATTATTTCAGCAGATCCTTCCCTTCGTTGTTTGTCTCTGTTCTCTCATCCCACCCTCACACCATCATCTGGCAATATGCGGCCCTCTAACCTCACCACTCAAATTACATCAATTCGCAAGGTCACGGCTACTATCCGTCGTGTGCGGCAACCAGCTTGTTTCTGACTCATCGCCCCGACGATTGCTGCCCAAAGGCCGGAGTAATAATGCTGTAGCTACCCCAGGACCCTTTCTCCGACATTCACGTCGGTGGATGTCGGGCGCCAGAGAAACATGGTGTGGGCAGTAGCCTAATCAAGAGTATAGTATGTAAGTTCTGGGACCCTTGCGACCTGAACTGGTGGACCTGCCCTTCATCTCGCGGACCGACTCCCGAAGACTACAGGTACTCGACTTATCCACGTACAGACGGTATCAAACTCCCTACGCCGTGGAAAGCACTGTGACTACGGAACTGTTTTGTCCTTTGCTCGGGTGTGCGTAACAGGCTATTCTTCACAGCCTTCCGAAATTGTTCTCTTATTAAGCGAGGCATCCGGCCACAATGGCGGTTGCATCCTGCTGGGCTTTGCGCTCCACTCGCAATAGACCCTGGGGACGGGGGACCACCGGAGAGACATCTCAAGCCTCACTTTGGTCGACCCGAGGTTTCGTCGCGGTGAAGCCCCCATCCCTGGCGGCCTACCTTGGGCAGGTATCTGCAATTTAGGCAAAGTCCCGGCAAAGTCTCGTCTCGAGGCCAACAGGTACTTTGCCACCAATTTTCCGCCTACGAGGTACCTTCCAACACCTCGGTCTCGACATGTGAAGTACCCACTGGGAGATTCCCCCTTCCTCTCGTTCCTGCTCCTCGGTTCGATCCACAACCCGAGTAGTCAATCTTTGGTGTCGCATCCGCTCGTTCGTGTGCTCGTAAAGCATCTTTGGCCCCTGCTACGCTTTGGCCCTTCGTTCTGCTTCCGCGCAGACGGCGCGATGCAGGGGGTGCTGGCCCAGTATCAAAATGTTGCCATCACCGTGGGATTTCCAGAATGAGAAGAGAAGAAATTTTTGTGGACATCCTCACTTTTCCACCCGAGCTCTCACAACGGCGAGGCAAGCAGCATTATCGGTCTGGTGTCGAAAGGTCCAAGCGGGCTAGCTACTCTCTCGATTGCCAGATACAGACATACTTTGTAGTGAGCCGTGCGAGCTCCGCAAGCTGATTCCGATATTCAGGCTCTTTAATAAGCCCCACATTGCTCGAGAATCCTTCTCTACAGCAGAGTTGTATTGCCGACCACGGGCCGATCGTTGAGCAGTGGCTAGTGTTCTGCCTCAATTTGTTCTGTACCGCACATCGAACCAAAGTGGATGAGTCTAGTTCCATCAATTTTGCAGGTTCTCGAAGTAGCATCACGATGTTCAAGTGGTGAGCAAGGTCTCACCGACTGTAACGGTCTTCCAAGTCAACAGATGCCACACCTTGCAAATGTTTTCTTTCGTGGATAAATTTTCTGCTAGTCTTCGGGGTATAGGACCCGAGTCAGTCTGGCCCAGGAGATTTAGCACCGCGGTGGCACTTTACAGCACATGTCAGGAGTCAGTCGAACCGTTGTTCAGGAGAACCAAATGATCTAGGCCGTGATAATTGACAGACACTAGATAAGAGAGGACTCTACCACTACACTTGCGCTCTCACTGAACAAAGATGTGAGCAATGAAGTTGACATGTTCGTTGGCGGTCCAGGTCATGCATAACCGACCCGGCCAGATGTCGGCTTGCCATTCAGGGTCCAATCTTGCATGTACCAGTGTCACTGCGTTCAGTACTATACTCAAGTCTGGACGGTTAGTCCCTGAGGACTGAGTGCTCTGGCAAACTCCAAGGACCCATCAACAGCACAGTTTACACAATCTATCTGACTGCCAGACCTCGAGGCCTGTCTGGTTATCAAACAGTCTGCTCGCCCAACAAGGTCCATCTTAGGAAGCTGCTGCTGGCGAAGCTTACATATGCGTCGCATGACTGTATGCCATGATGAGGCTGTGTGTTAGCGCCGGTGTAGCTACGTCTCCTAAAGATTGATGGTTCAATAAAAAAGCCAGATATATATGCATGGTCAGCCTTACAAGCGATACACAGCTGACTTGTAATCAGCTGTGCCTTGCTCATGACCGCCGGTGACGCTCCCGCTGGGGCTGGCTGAAGGAAGAGAATAGGAACCCCAGTAGCAAAGCTTGCTGGCAGCTGTGGGAGCCGGTCTTCGAATTTTGTCCAGTGTTCTTCGACTCCCCTCCTTCTTGGATACTTCATGATCCAAGCGTACATGGTTCCGGTGAAGTCGGCTCCGATGAAGTTCCTGTGCCTCTTTCATTGGTGACCTCCGCTTGCTTCACAGGACTCTTTGCGTTTGTCCAAAATGGAGGTATTCGAATACGGACACGATGCTGCTCCCCGGATTCTTCCTTTTGTGGGGAGCTTTACGAGCTCGAATGCCATCTGTGCGAGCTCACTCACGACACGGCAGGAAGCACATCCTCGGAATTCGTTCTGGCCAGTAAAGTGTCGAATGTTGGAGATCGTCATCCGAGAACCTTTGCTAGTTTTCGTGCGGGAAGTGATCGCTTTTCGTGGTCAGCATGCACCCCACGTAATAGCTTGGACCCTTGTTTTTCGCTGCCGCACTCCGTATCTGCGCTTGAAATCCCTACATCGGAAGATGGCATGCGGAGGTGGTTGCTAAAGGGTGGCTGTGAGCGTGAATTGCAGCCGGCACAACAATCATAGGATTCTCGACTCCCAAAGACTGTCCGTGTGATGTGGGAAAGGTGGAAGGGTGAAGGGCAGCCTGCAACCATTACTGTAGAGCACTCTAGGCCCCGAGTCCCGAACTCGCGTGGGGCGGCGTTCCCAATGCGCTCGAGATTTTAGTCACGTGACTAGAAGTCTTGGCAAAACATCTTGCCTCGGCAATACTCCGTACTGGAATCAAAACAAACAAAACCAGTTTCCGGCCAGATGCTGTTGCTGGAATTGGGCCAGACTCTGTGATGTCGTAGCCCCTTGACTTGACTGTTATTCCATTGGCATGTTGTTGCAGGCCTAGTGACGCCTTTGAGCATGCAATGCTACTTTCTCCACTGATACAAGGTAGACATTGTGACATGCGAAGCTTCTTAAGCGATACCGCATCTCTGAAAGATATGCCTTGG